TACAAAGAAGACACCACCCAAGCACTGAAGCCTGGATGGACCTAAGCCCCACCTGCTGGACTCCCCTCATAGAACTCTGCAGAAGCAGAAAGTCTGGGAATGCACCAATCTGATCTGTATGGATGAAATCCCAACTGGCAGTGCTTCCTAACCCATTCTGCTCATACTGGTAAGAAGAAAAGCTGAGACTAAAGTCAAGCAACTTTAGTCTTAGGCCACTCCAATTGGCAGCTCAGAGAGCTGCACAAAAATAAGAAGAGGTTAACAACCTCCACCCCTTGCTCTTTCTATCAGTACATAGCTAAAGAAGAAATGGAAAGAAAAACAGCTGGGCATAGACAGTGGCCATTCACTTTATTCAACTGTTTTGACCAAATCAGTAGAGACAATTCCTTCTTTTTTTTTCATTAAGAATCCTCTCTCTCTCTCTCTGTGTGTGTGTGTGTGTGTGTGTGTGTGTGTGTGTGTAAAGTATTATTATGCTGATTAGTCCAGGGGATATATATATCTACCTATGGATACTTATTTCTTTACTCCTTATTTTTAAATATAGTTATTTGTCCTTGTCTTTTGAGGGTTAGGGTTTGGGAAGTTTGTATATTTTTGTTTTGTTTTGTATTTTTTTTTCATTTGTTTTTCTTGTTTCTCTTTTTTATCCTAACAGTCAAATTCCATTGTTTTCTTCCTCTCTCCCTTTACTTTGCATCTCCGATTATTCCTCCTCCTTCCTTATAACTTCCAACTGCTACATTTCTTCTGCATTCTCTCTGTCCTCTTTTTGAAATTGAAAACTCTTTTCTACTTTGCAGTAGATTTTATTTTTTCTCCTAATTAACTGTAATTTTACCATATTTTAGAACGAATTGGTTTATATAACTTCTGTCCCCACCATTGATGATGATGCAATTATTACCGCTGTGAATAATAGAGTTGACACCCTACATTTTCTTTAAAGCCAAATCAAGTTCATGGTTATTGAATAATCAGGGAAGAAAAGGCTATCACAGGGATAAAAATAGGAAAAGAAAAAAAATCAAACTATTTGTTTGCTGATGACATGATCCTACACCTAGAAGACCCCAAAATTACCAGAAGACTTCTAGAGTTTATAAACAAGTTCAGCAAAGTAGCAGGATACAAGCTCAACACAAATAAATCAGTAGCTTTCCTAATCTCCAACAGTGAGTCAGCAAAGGAAGAAATCAGGAAAACTATCCATTTACAATAACCAAAAAAGTGCTTTGGAATTAATCTAACCAAGTTGTTAAAAGAGGTATACAATGAAAATTATAGAACATTAAAGGAAGAAATTGAGGAAGACCTTAGAAGATGGAAAGACATCCTATGTTCTTGGATAGGCAGAACTAGTATTGTCAAAATGGTGATGCTACCAAAAGCAATGTACAGATTCAATGCAATCTCCATCAAAATACCAATAACATTCTTCATAGAATTAGAATTTTTTTTAAAAAAAAAATTCATTTGGAAGAGTAAGAGAACCAGAACAGCCAAAGCAATACTAAGCAAGAAAAGTAAAGCAGGAGGCATCACAGTACCTGATCTGAAATTATACTCCAGAGCAGTAGTAACAAAAACTACAAGTTATTGGCATCAAAATAGACACGAAAGACCAATGGAACAGAAGAGAAGACACAGAATCAAATCCACATACCTACAGCGATATGATGCTCAACAAAAGTGCCCAAAATATATTTTGGGTGAAAAGACAGCCTTTTTAACAAATGGTGTTTAAAAAACTGGATAGCTATATGTAGAAAAATATCTCTCATCATGTGCAAAACTCAAATTGAAATGAATAAAAGAGTTAGGAATTAGACCAGAAACCTTACAACAGCTAAGAAAAAAAACCTAGGGTCAACACTCCATAGGGTTAGAACTGACTTTCTTAACAAGTCCCCCAAAGCATAAGAATTAAAACCAAGAATCAATAAATGGGATGCCATCAAACTAAAAATCCTAGGCACAGCAAAGGAAATGACTAAGAGCATGAGGAGTGAGCCTGCAGAATGGGAGAAAGTCTTGGCCAGCTACTCCTCCAATAGGAGATTAATATTCAGAATATGTAAACAACTAAAAAAACTAAACAACACAAAGAAACATCCAATCAATAAATGGGTAAATGAACTCAACAGAAACATCTCAGAAGAAGAAACACAAATGGCCAACAACTATATGAAAATATGTCCAACACCTCTAGCAATCAGGGAAATGCAAATCAAAGCTACACTGAGATTTTATCTTACTCCAATCAAAATGGTAATGATCATTTTAATAATAATTTTTAATATATTAATAATAAAAGGTAACACTTGTTCATTGATGATGGGACTGCAGACTAGTATATGGAATCAGTAAGGAGATTCTCTAAAATTACTAGGGATGAAACCAGCATATGACCCAGCTATCCCACTCCTTGATTATTTCCCCAAAGATCTAAAATTGGCCTACCACAGCAATACAGCCACCTTGATATTTATAGCAGCACAATTCACAGTAGCTAAATCATGGAATCAATCCAGATGCTTGTCAATAGACAAATGGATTACAAAATTGTGGTTTATATATGTACACTGGAGCTATACTCAGCCATATAGGAGAATGAAATTATGGCATTTGCTGGTAGATGGATGGAAATGGAGAATATCATGCTAAGTGAAATAAGCTAAGCTCAGAAACTCAGGTTCAACATTTTCTCTCATTTGAGGAAGCTAGCATTAAAGTAAAGGTAAGGGAGAGGAGATCGAGAGGTAGAGTGGAGGGATGGGAAAGGGGAGACCACAAAAAAGAACTCTTAAAAAATCATGTTTGTGCATTGTTTTAGTCATCTATTTCTCTGCTGTGACCAAAAGACCCAACCAGCACAACTGTAGAGGAGGAAAAATTTATTTGGGGGCTCATGGTTTCAGAGGTCTCAGTCCACAGACAGTAGTCTCCATTCCTCGGGGCTCAAGGTGAGACAGGACATCACGGTGAATGAGTCGGCGGAGGGAAGCAGCTCACATGATCATCAGAAAGGAGAGAGAAAGAGGGATCCATCTCCACTTGCCAAATACAAACATATACCCCCCAAACCACCCCGCAGTGATCCACCACTTCCAGCCACACCCCACCTGCCTCCAGTTACCACTCAGTTAACCCCATCAGGGGATTAATCCACTGATTGGGTTAAGGAGCTCACAATCCAATCATTTCCCCTCTGAACTCTTTTATATTGTCCTACATGTGAGCTTTTGGAGGATATCTCACATCCAAACAATAATATGCATATATAAATATACTACAGGGAACTTCAACTTTATGTATAAGTAAAAATCTAATCAAATATATAGAAGAGTGAAAGGAAATTTGTTAGAGGAAGGAGAACCAGGAAGGAGGGAGGATGTTAGGGGAAAAGGGGAGGGGGAAAGAGGGGTCACAAACTGAAATTGAGTTTTATGCATGTATGAATTTGTCATGTTGAACCCAACTATTATGTATAACTATAAAGTTCTAATAAAAAAGAGAAAAATGAAAAAGCATCTGCACAACAAAGGAAGCAATCAACAGTGAAAAGATAGCTCACAGAATGAAAGAAAATCTTTGTCAGATATTCTTCAGAAAGAGGAATAGTATCTGGGATAATAAAGAACTCTAGAATTTTAACACCAAATAATCCAATAAAAGTGATTCTTATTCACTGATCCAAATGAGCTGAACAGAAACTTCTCAAAAGAAGAAACACAAATAGTCAATAAATATATAAAAAATACCCAATATCTTTTTTTTTAAAGAGAATATTTATTTTTTAGTTTTCAGCAGACACAACATCTTTGTTTGTATGTGGTGCTGAGGATTGTACCCAGGCCGCACGCATGCCAGGCGAGCGTGCTACCGCTTGAGCCCACATCCCCAGCCCAATACCCAATATCTTTAGCCCTCAGAAATACAGATCAAAACTACATTGAGGTTCATTCTCACTGCAGTCAGATTGACTATTATCAAGAAAACAAAAAAATAACAAGTGCTGTGAAGATGTGGGGTGTTGGGGGGTGGGGGAGGAACACTTAGACATTATTGGTGGGAATGTAGATTTGTAGAGCCAATATGAAAACCAATATGGAGATTCTCCAAAAAGCTAAAAGTAGAACTACCATATGATCTAGATATACCATCTCTGGGTATACATCAAAGGAATCAGCCAGCATATTATAGAGATACTAGCATATCCATGTTTATTGTGACACTCTTTACACTAGTCAAATTATGGAATCAAATAGAGCATAACAGTAGAAGAAGGATTATGAGAAAGAGAAGGGACCCAGGGGGAGGTGGGTTAAGACGGAAGTAGGGAGGGTGGATATGATCAACGTTATGTTATATGCATGTATAATATTGTCACAAGGAAACCTATTTTGTAAAATATGCACTAAAAATCATGGAAGAAATCAGTGGCTCTATAGCAGTGTTGACACAAATTTTTCTATAAAGAGCTAAATAGTAGGTATATTAGAATTGATGTTCATGCAGTCTCTGGGGCAACTATTTGGCTCTAGGCCATAGTTCTCTGACATTTGTCTTAGCAGATAGAAAGCAATAAATAATGAGAGAACAAGGTAACTAATGTGAATATTGTTGCTATGGGCATTTATGAAGAGGGACCCAGAATCATCAGGAATTTAAATCCCAATTCCTTCCAATTACAAGTTCAGAAAACAGCAACAATGCTGGGGTTGTCAATGGGACACCTGATCTGCACATATGCAGTCAGCCTTGGGCAACAATTTCTTGGTTTGAATGTGGAACCAGACCAAGAAGGCGTCATAGGAACTTGTGGGGGGTGGTGGTGGAAGAGATCTCTGAATTGAAGACTTTCCCCAAGTAGAGGACAGGGTAAAGCCTGAATCCCTGAGGTCCTCCTGGTTGTGGCCATCAATAAGAATCACAAAATCAAGTCAGACATTTATTGAGGCACTGGAGCCGATTCTTGATGCTGCAGGCCTTTAGATTGATACAATTTCAATGTGGAACTCTGGTTCCTTGGAAACAGCTTTAGTTGGTACCTGCAGAACTTCATTGTTCTGGAAGATAAGGTTGCTCTCTGGGGTCTGGAACTCAGGGAGATTTTGGACCAGTTGGCAATATTGACGGCACTGCCACATTCGAAAACAGGACTGGAGCTTGACAGCTGACTTTTCCTGGATTACATACAGCCTCAGAAGTAATTTCTGCTGCTTATATGCCCGCCTCAGCAGGATCATCCTCCACCAGCCCTGAATCATCCAGGCCCTGAGGGCAGCGACAAGCAGGGTCCGTCGTACCAGGTGGCCACGCCACCAGGCCTGAATCTTCTTAGCTGCCTTAATCCTTCTTTTGTGGCGTTTTTTAAGGCGCAACTAACCAAGCAAAGCAGAGGATGTCCAGTGAATGTGTCACCGTCAAACACAGGGCAGTTCTCTTAATAGCCCTTTCGAAACCTGGTGGTTCTGAAAACCCCAGAAAGCTGGGTAGAGTTTGGCCTCCACTTCTGTCTTATCCATGGGTGTGGACATACCTGTTCACTTTCTAAGCCACAGAGTCCTCATCTATGAAATGGGGGGTATGCTTGCCTTGTGTATTCACAGGTTCATGGAGCCAGGGCAAATACTTTCTGATCCAGAAGTCCCTCTGCAGGCGTGAAGACCCAAGGGATCCTCACAAGGAAGAACCTCTGCATTTATGGGCTGCATCTCAGTTCTAACTCAGCCTGTCCTGCTGCCTCCTACAGCCTCCTGTGGTGCCACAGCCCTCTGGGGTCTTCCCTTACCTCGCTTCTGTGGATGTCTGCTCCTGCCTCTCTGTCACTCCCTGTCCTTCACCTGCCTTTCCATTTCTCATCGCACTGTGCCACCTTCCATATGGTCTGTGCACAGTTCACCCAGGATAAGAGGGGACTTAGGGGACAGGAGAGCAATGCTGAGCCAACCCTGTGGGAGCAGAGATGGCTCCTACACTTCTAGGGACCCTAAGGTGAAGAGGGGGAATCAAAGACCTCCGGTTTTCTCATGCTTCTTGGTTCCACCTACCTTCTCTTGCCTGTTGTTCTCAACTATGTGGATTTCTGGACCACATTTCTGCAATCAAAATGATGAGGGGGCATAGGTGAGGACAGCCTCTGCGCAAAATCCCCACAGCCCCAGGGCCCCATTTTTTTTCCTGGGCTTCCCTCTGACATGGACATTTCCCCATCCCTGGGGCAGTGAGTCTGATAGAGTCTTACACAAGCTTTAGAGCCCATGGTGGGGGGCAGATGCTCAGGTGGTCATCCCCCGCTGGTGGCTTTTCCTCTGATCCCATCAGGGACAGGATGGGTGGTGGAGGAGATGGCCATGATGTCACAAGGGCAACTGTTACCCAGGGACCAGGTTGTTTTCTTCAGGCTTACAAATAACGAATGGAGAGAAAACACCTGCCCATTTCCCCTCCTTCCAGGGATAGATGGGAGTCCTCAGGGACTGAGTCTGCTCTGGCCCACGGATGACCTCTCTGGTCTGTCCCACCCTTGGACTCATCCTATCAGTCACAAGCAGAGTAGTCCATGTTTTCACAGGAAGGAACATGGGGCTCCCCACTACTCTGACTCAGGCTGGCTCCCCATTTCCCATGCTTTTCTACCATGGTGCCCTTCCTTGGGAGGGGGAAAGCCCTTCTTTCAGTGGGTACCTCATTGATTGTGGAGAGTGAATAGGGGTCAGAGAAACACTCCTGAGGTACTTCAGCCAATCTCTACTCCCCTCCTGTCTCGGCTTAGCTTACCAACCTGTGTTCCGTAACACAAGCCCTTCCATTCTGTGTCTGAATCTTCTTGGGACAGAGAGATTTTTCCAAAGAGAAGTCACTGTGTATGAGAGCACTTCCCCAAACACTGTAGAGTCCTCAAGTGATGGCAGTGGTCATGTTTCAAGGGCCCATTTGTACTCCAGCCTTCTGCAAACCAGTCATCTCTGGCTGTTTCCACTGCCACTTCTGACTGCATTTCCCAGCCGAGACATGGCCTCCTCATTCAAGACACTATCACTTTCCCACATGGAAGGAGAGCTGGTGGCTTCTGTCCTTCCTCAGACAACCCAGTTATCTCCCTAACCTTCCCATGAGGAGATTTGAAATTGAGGTCGGATCATGATTTCGTCTTTATGTTGTTGTGACCATGCGACTGTGACTGAGGGCCATGCTGGGGGCACATTCCAACTCCCCATTGTTTCCCGCACAGCATCATGAAATCCCTTTTCATGAGGACAATGTTGACATGTATACAATTTGACAGAACAGGCACTGACTGACCAGGGACCCACGACCAGCATATCTCCTGTCTTCTGCATTGATGAGTTAAGATCCCTGTCACCTCCAGTGATTCTCTACAGCACCCTGCCAAGATCAGTGGCTTGTTGATGTCCCCAAGCAGCTGTGGGAGATATCTTCTAGGGTACACATCCTGCGTGGCCCTGCTGACTCATAGGACAGGTTACTACTACATACCACTAGGTCTAGACCGATTGCTTTCCACAATGGCACCGCTAGCCTAACCTGTGCCCGGCTTCCTGTTTTTTTGCTGAACATATGATATTTTCATATGTGTTTCTCTGAGGAGGGACTTGACACTGTACCTGGGCTCCAATCCTGGCAGAGTCTCCTGCAGGCTGAATGCACGTGGGCAAGTCTTCTGGGCTCTTCGCATCTGTCTCCTGCCTCATGAAGGGACAGCACCACCCTCTTGTGGGTCTAGGTGAACTCATGTGGGTAAAGAGCCTGGGTGGTGCTGGGTCCTGGTACCTGCTCAGTGTCTTCTAGCTCTTTTCTTTGGTGCATATTGGCCATTGGCGTCTCTGTGTCGACTGGCCCATTTTGTCTTTGGTCTGTTTTTCTACTGACATCCATTTTTCTTGTCTGACTTCCTTGGATAAAAGTTTTGCTAATACCCTTTGCCAGATGGTTCTCTGACTTTTACCTTTTTCGTTTTTTGTTCTTTCATTCCACAGACAGCTTTAATTTTAGTTTGAGGTCTCCTAACACTTAACTTTAATTTTAATATAAAAAAAAAACTTCATGAAGCTAGTTTTAAAAATTTACTCTACATTGCTCACAAGTAAGTAAAAAAGTAAAAGCAACTGGCAACCTCCTGCCTTATTTCCTCCCAACAATTTCACCTATGGCCGAGACAACTGCTTTTAACTTTTATACAGTCCTGTGATTTACCTCAACTACATGCTCTATTGAAAATTTTAAAATTTCTATCTTTGTTCTCCATGGTCTTCTTTCCATGCCAATAAAGACTTACCTTTCCTGCCTTTCTCCCTCCTTTCAGTATAATTATAGCCACACTTTTTAAGGTAAAATTAGTAATTAGTGTCACCTCACTGTGATCATGTATACTGTTCAAGGCTCAACAAGGGTATATTTCCATTCATGAACTTCCCGTTCTTCTTGGAGCTAGTGATTACCTTGTTTCTATGAATTCTTCCCCAAACTATTCACAAACTTGTTATTGGAATAATTTCCTTTTTTCCTGGAGCCCTGTTGCCTTTCTCTCATCCGCTTTAGCTGCTGTACTGCCATGTCATGTTTCTATAGGGCCCCTCACCATTTTCTTTCCCTCTCCTGGGAAGACCCCCTACTATGAGATTCCACATGTAGCAGGATGGATTTCATCCAGGATGCAGAGCCCCTATAGGATAAAGGATTACTGTAGTAATTAGACCTTATTCAATTGTGCCAGCAGCTGAGAAGAGAAGGTCTGGAAGCACAGAATGACAGACCAAGGAAAGGCCACTGGGCAGTCCAACAAAGCCCTGTTGGGTGACTTAGTTGGAACTTCCAGACGAACCAGACACATCTAATCCCTGATATGACACTGTGAAGTGGAAGGTCCGGAGAGGTCCAGGAAAGCTTTGCCTGGCTGGGTACGTACTCAAGCATCATGTGGTTGGACTGGGGTGCATTTGGTTAGTAGGCAAGGAGAAGACATGGTTGCAGAACTGGGAAAGGAATAAAAACTAGAAGGGTCTGGACATATTTCTATGTGTATCTGTCTCCATTCCTCATTGCAGGAATGCCTTCTGCCTCCCAAGTCTAATGCAAGTTCCCATCTTCCCACTCGATCCCAAAGACAACAGGGACAGGCATTCTGGAAAATGTAGTTTTTAAACAAATATTTTCTCATCCAGGGTGGCAAGCTTTCTGTTAGATTCTGATTTACTGTTTACGCTAAGATCTTCACTAAGTGAGAGGAACACAATCTTACATACCAGGTCTCCCTCTTTTTTGGATGTCACATCTAATTCTCATAGAGCAAATTCATATCATTCAACTCTATGAAAGCTTCCCAGAAAAGGGTGCATGGATATAAATTAAGGATACTTGCATGTCTGAAAATGACTTCTTTCTACCCTCAAATCTGATTGGTGACTTTATGAAGTATCAACTTTCAGATGGAAAGTTACTTTCCCTCAGAATTTTGAGGACTTAATTCTAATTTCTTTTTAAGTCTTATTTTAATTATCTGTTTCCTTTCTCTCCAAACTCAGACCTATTTTTTTCCTCTCTGGAAACATTTAGGAACTTCTCTTTAACCCTGTTATGAAGGTTCAGAATGAAAAATATAGAAATGATATCTTCTCCCTTCCTTCCTTTGCACATTCATTGTGTTGGACACTTGATTCCCTATTGGTATAGAAATTCATATCATTCAATTCTGGGAAATGTTCTTGTATTTATTTCTTGATAATTTCTACCCTTTAATGTTCTTAATTTTCTGCTCTTAGAAATTCTATTAGCCAAGCCAGGTATGGTGGTGCACAGCTGTAATCCCAGTGACTTGGAGGGCTGAAGCAAGAGAGTCACAAGTTCAAGGCCAGCCTCAGCAACTTAAAGAAGCCCTCAGCAACTTAGTGAGATGCTGTCTCAAAGTAAAAAAATAAAAAGGCTGAGAATGTGGTTATAAAATACCAGTAGTAAAATACTCCTAGGTTAAATCCCAGTTGTTGTTGTTTTTACCTCTTCTGTCCCCAGTGTTATTTTTTTAAAAATTCCTTTATCTTTGTTTTTGTCTCAATATTTCATGTTAGAAACTTTATACAAATGTTGATCCTTGGTTGCCTATTTATATATAAGACTTAAGTAATGACATTTATATGTAAGACTTACTTCAGAGAAAGTCAACAAACTTGGGTGTAACTTTCTCTGGTGACATTCAGTATAGGTTTGATAAGGCAGAGAGTTAGGTTTTGCTTCCGATGGGAATCCCAAGTATCTATAGTCATTAATTCTATTCTTTGGTGTTTCTGATAGGTCATGTTAACGGCCCTGTTTTCACACCTTTTGTTATTAGACTTTTTCTTCCCCAAAAGAGATGGGATAGCTCTTTCTGTATCTTTGGTTACATACGTGTCTTGATTGGCCAATAGAGTAAGGTGGAATGGTTTTTGGTGTGCAAGTTTGGGCTTGGCCTTGAAGGGTTTTGCATATTTACCTTTGCTCCTTTGCACTTCTTCCATTGCAAGATAACAGCTTGCCAGGAAGGCTGGGTGGGAGCAGGAGGCTGAGAGTCATGGGGAGCACAGTTTCCCTGGTTAAGCTACTGCAGCTTATATAACATGTCACTGGAGCCTGGAAGTTTTTATATGCAGCATTAGTGTTGCCATATGTGACTTAGTTGGCCTTACCCTTTCTGCCTGTGGAGGCCCCTTGGGAACAGGACTTCTAAAAGGCAAATACGTCTAGAAGATTGTGGTGCAAGGTCATTTTCGTTGGCTACAAGTGGTGTCTTTGGAACCAAAGAGAGCACTCAGCTCTTCTTAAAATTGAAGGTGTTTATGCCAGAGATGAAACTGAATTCTACTTGTACAAGAGATGTGACAATGTGCACAAAGTGAAAAACAACTCAGGGACTCCTGCACTGCAAGTAAAAGCCAAACAAAACCTGGATAATCTAACCATTGAAACAGTGGTGTGGTTCAAGTCAAATTCAGAAGTTATCTTCCTGCTAAAGCCATTGTTCATACAATCCTTGTATGTACTGTGCTCCTTAAAGATCAGAACTAAAGAAAAGTAAATAAACAAAAGTGGATTTGTACTTTTGTAAAAAAAAAAAAAATGGATTTATTCCCCCAGAGGTCAAAATACTCCAGAGAGTGAGCCTAGAATTTTGGACTAGAGAGTAGGAGAGTGACACTTGACTAGAAGCCCTCAGGATGGGGTTAGAGGACTCTTTTTTTTTTTTTAAGTCTGCACATTTCCACTTATTGCCTGTTTTTTGTATGGTGCTTCACCCATGCCCTCAGTCATGACTGAACTCTCTAAGTCCAGAGGCCGTCTGATTCAATGTGTGCAGAAAATATAACTTTCTGTCAGGTTACCCCGCTGGAGGTAAGAAGGAAGAAAAGAGTGAACCCAACAAATCCATAAATAAATATTTATTGCACACCTCAGATTCCTCAGAGGTGGTTACCCCCCCTTTGCACACTATGTTATTCTTGTGGGTTTTGTAATGCATTTTAGTGTGACTGAACATATTCCTTTCCCTTGTCTGTTCTTCAAAATACTTGCCTATAGCAGACTTTCATTTTATATGAATTTTTTTGCATCAATTTGTTAATTTCTCAAAACTCTAGGGTTCACTTTAATGTTATTTTATTGGAGTCTATATTTAACTGATAAACTTGAAGATAATAAATATATTGCAATATAAAGTTGTGTCAATGAATATAGTATATCTAATTATTTGCTCTCTTTTATATATCATTCTGAGCTGTGAGAAAATATGTCTCATAGAACTTCTTGGACATGCCCTTAAAGAGAAAGAGTGTACGTTAAATTTGCATTTCTCTAATTGCTAGAGATGTTAAACATTTTTTTCATGTATTTGTTGAATATTCATATTTATTCTTTTGAGAACTGTTTATTTCTTTAGCCCATTTTTGATTGGGTTATTTGTTTTATTTATGTCAAGCTTTTTGAATTTTTTTCATATTCTGGAAGTTAATGACTTATTTGAGGTGTGGGTGGCAAAGATTTTATACTTTGTTTAGAGACAGGGTCTCATTAAGTTGCTTCGTGCCTCACTTTTTCTGAGGCTGGCTTTGAACTCACAATCCTTCTGCCTCAACCTCCCAAGCTACTGGGATTACAGGTGTGGGCCACTGCACCTGGCTAGAAGGAAGATAATTTCTTAACATGTTCAATTGTATCAAAAATTATAGAGGCTGGTGTTGTGGCTCAGTGGCAGAGTGCTTGCCTAGCATGTGTGAGGCACTGGGTTTGATTCTCAGCACCACATAATAAATAAATAAAGGTCCACCAACAACTAATAAAATGTTTTTTAAAAATTATAAATAAAACTAAGTTTCCTAAAAAAGAAAAAAAGAGAAACTAATAGTCATGGTTCTTGTCTGTCTTTCTTGCAGTTGATTCACTTGCGGATATAATTATTACATTTGGAACAGTCATTATTGGATCATTAATTGACCTTGGACATGAAGGCAATACAACACAGAGTAGAATGATTGCTGGACCAACTTCCTCACCCTGTGGAGAGTCATACTGAGCCTGGAAAACCTATTTCTGTTTCAATGTGGGAAAGAGAAATAAGCATTTTGTTTAAACCACTGTAACATTAGTTGTGCATTCAAGTCACTTTAATCCTGATATAGTAAGCTCTGCTGTGATTATCAAAGAAGGGGGCCCCAAGAACAGTAGACACGTCATTGCCTGGAAACTTCTTAAGACCCACATTCATGGGTCCCTGGCATGTGAAATAAGAAATGCCTGTGGCAGGGGGTTAACAAGGAGGGTGGAGTGTGATAGACATCATTATTCAAAGTACATGTATGAAGACACAAATTCGTGTCAACCTACTTTACAGACAACCAGAGATGAAAAAT